TGGAACTACAGGCGCGCGCTACCATGCCCAGCTAATTTTTTTTTTATTTATTGTAGAGATAAGGTCTCGCCACAGTTGCCCAGGCGGGTCTTGAACCCCGCAGGCTCAGGCAATCCACTCACCTCAGCCTCCCAAGGCATGGGATTACAGGCTGAGCCACCAAACCCAGCTACTTTTTTTTTTATTGAGTCAGAGTCTCACTCTGTCACCCAGACTAGAGTGCAGTGGCATGCTCATGGCCACCTCAGTGTTGACCTGCTGGGCTCAGGTGATCCTTCTGCCTCAGCCTTTCAAGTAGCTGGAACTACAGTTACACACTACCATGCCTGGCTAATTTTTTGATATATGTAGAGATGAGGTCTCACCAAGTTGCCTAGGCTGGTCTCGAACACCCGTGCTCAGGCAATCCTCTCACCTCAGCCTCCCAAAGTGCTGGGATTACAAGCTCGAGCCACTGCACCAGGTCAATCACTTAAATTTTTATGAATTAAAGGTATTACTTCTAACCAATATTACAATGAAGAATATGATTTCATCAAAATCAAGAAACTGAAAGGCTATCCTATGCAAACTCTTCTGAGTAAATGAATATTTTCTTCATAGCAATGGTACCTCTATCTACTTAGTCGTTCAACGTAAAAACCTAGGAGTTGTCTTTGACTCTTCACTCTCTGATCTCACAACCAGCCTATTCTTGCAACTCCACTTCTGAAATAGATCTTTAATCTGATCACTTTTCAGCCCTCTACTGCAACCCTTTGGTCCAAGTCACCATCATCTCTTATCTGAGCTTCTGGAATAGTTTCTTTGTGCACAACAACCTTAAGAACAAATCAGAGCACAACACTGCTTAGCTCAGAATTTCACAAAATGCCCCCCCACCCTCATTTCATTACCTCCTCCCTTCCCTGAGGATGTGCCAACCACAGTGGCATCCCAGCTCTTCAAGCATACAGAGCTCATTCCCACCTCCAGGTCTTTGAACTTGCTGTCCCTCCACTCAACCTGGAATATTCTTCCTGCAGACCTCTGCACAGCTTGCTACTTGTGCTTCCTGGGGCATCCTTCCAACTGTCATCACCTCAGAGAGGCCTTTCTGCTCCTTCCTGCCTCTCACAATTCCTCTTTACTCTCTTTTATTTTTATTCATAGCACTCAGGTTCATCTGATGTTATGTTACTTGACTATTATCTATTTCTCCACTGGAGGGTAAGCCCAGAGAGCAGGGATTTTTTTTTTTTTTTTGAGTTGGAGTCTCATTCCATCGCCCAGACTGGAGTGCAGTGGCTGCTCCCGGCCACTGCAGCCTCGGCCTGCTGGGCTCCGGCGATCCTTCCACCTCAGCCTTCCAAGTAGCTGGAACTACAGATGTATGCTACCACACCCGGCTAATTTTTTATTTATTGTAGAGATGAGGTCTTGCCAAGTTGCCCAGGTGAATGTCAAACCTGCGGGCTCAGGCAATCCACTCACCTCAGCCTCCCAAAGCGCAGGATTACAGGCTGAGCCACAGAGCCTGGCTGAGCAGGGATTTTTTTAACCGTTTAGGCCAGGTACAGTGGCTCAAGCCTGTAATCCCAGTACTTTGGGAGGCCAAGGTAGAAGGATTACCTGAGCCCAGGAGGTTGAGTCTGTCATGAGCCATGCCACTGCATTCCAACCTGGATGGCAGACTCAAAAAAAAAAAAAAAAAAAAAAAAAGGAAACCAGTTTGGTTCACTGCTGTCTCCTGCACCTAGAATAGACCTGGCACATACCTGGTGCTTGAAAAGTATATGCTGTTGGATGTGGTGGCTCACGCCTGTAATCCCAACATTTTGGGAGGCAGAGGCAAGAGGACTGCCAGATGAGACCAGCCTGGGCAACATGGTGAGACCTCATTTCTATAATAAAAAAAAAAATTAGCCGAGTGTGGTAGCTCCACATGTGGTTCCAGCTCCTTGGAAGGATCACCTGAGCCCAGCAGGTCAAAGCTGCGGTAGCCATGAGGGTGCCACTGCACTCCAACCTGGGCGACAATGAGACTCTAACTAAAAAAAAAGTATATGCATTGGGAATGGCTCAGATTGCTACTAACTTCTACTGACATTAGTAAACCTGGATAAGAGCTTCATCTGTGCTTGTACTATTTTTATATTCCAGACAAATTACTTAGTTCTTTCCATTTTTATGGAAGGGAAAATAAATAAATACTGATGCCTTTACAGTTTATTAAAAAGATCAGATGATAAGATGGGTGTAAAAGCCCCCTTTTTTTTTTTGAGTTGGAATCTCACTCCATCACCCAGATTGGAGTGCAGTGGCACGCTCCCGGCCACCACAGCCTTGACCTGCTGGGCTCTGGCAAGCCTTCCGCCTCAGCCTTCCAAGTAGCTGGAAATATAGGTGTGCGCTACCACGCCCGGCTAATTTTTGATATTGGAGAACCTGCGGGCTCCGGCAATCCACTCACCTTGGCCTCCCAAAGTGCTGGGATTACAGGCTGAGCCATTGAGCCCAGCTATAAAAGTCCTTTTTAAAATGGAAAATGCCGTAAATGAATAATTAGTCCTCAAAAAAATGTCATAAAATATACAAAATAAAAAGCAATACAGTGCCAGGTGCGGTGGCTCATGCCTATAATCCAGCACTTTGGAAAGCAGAGGCAAGAGGATTGCCTGAGCCCTGGGGTTCAAGACCATCCTGGGCAACATGGTAAGACCTTGACTCTACAATAAATAAAAAAATTAGCGGAGCGTGGTAGCTGGACTATAGCTGTGCCTATAGTACAGTTACTTGGAAAACTGAGGCAGGATTGCCTGAGCCTAGCAGATCTAGGCTGCAATAGATGTGATTGTGCTACTGCACTCCAGCCTGGGCAAAAGAGTGAGAGTCTGACTCAAAAAAAAAAAACAAAAACAAAAAACCAATACATAGAGTCATGCAGTAGTACACACCTGTAGTCCCAGCTGCTTTGGAGGCTGAGGCAGGAGGATTGCTTAAAACTAGTAGGAAGTGAAGTTTACAGTGAGCAATGATCACGCCTATGAATAGCCACTGCACTCCTGACGAGGCAACATAATGAGACTCCATCTCTAAAAAAATAATGATAATTAGGCCAGACACAGTGGCTCACACCTGTAATTCCAGCACTGTGGGAGGCTGAGGCAGGAGGATCACTTGAACCTAGGCACTCAAGACCACAGTGAACCATGATCATGCCACTGCAGTTCAACCTAAGCATCAGAGCAAGAAAACCTTATCTCTAAAAGAAATCAAAATAAATTTAAAAATTTTAAAAATACATAAACATCTGAAAATCGGGTCCATTTTTCTGCTTTTAATTACACATTGACATTTTATAATTATATGTATTTATAGTGTACAAAGTGATACTGTTATTTATGAATACAATATGGAATAATTAACTCAAGCTAATTAGCACATCCATTGCCTCAAATTCTTACCATTTTTTTGTTGTGAGAATATTTGAAATTTACTCATAGCAGTTTTGAAATGTACAACACACTATATTCACCATGCTGAGCAACAGACCTTGGGGAAAAAACCTTATTCCTCCTCTCTGAGACTTTGTGTCTTTTGACCATCATTTCCATGTTCCTCTCAGCTCCAGCCCCTGTAACCACCATTCTACTTTCTGCATCTATTAGTTCAGTTATTGTAGATTCCACATATAAGTGAGAACATACAGAATTTGTCTTTCTGTACCTGGCTTATTTCACTTAGTGTAATGTTCTCCAATTTTATCCAAATAACAGAATTTCCTTCTCAAAAGGCTGAATAGTATTCCATTGTATATATATATATATATTTTTTTTTTTTTAAGAGTTTCTCTCTGCTGCCCAGGCTGGAGTGCAGTGGCACAATCATGGTTAACTGCAGCCTTGAGTTCCTGGGCTCAAGCAGTCCTCTTGCCTCAGCCTTGCAAGTAGCTAGGATTACAGGTGTGAGCCACTGCACCCAGCTATATACGTTTTCTTTATCTATCTGTGGGTGGACACTTGGGTTGGTTCTGTATCTTGGCTGTTGTCAATAGTGTTACAATGAACATGGGAGTTTAGACATTTCTTCAACAAACTTATTTCAGATATTTTGGGTAAATATATCCAAAAGTAGGATTGCTGGATCTGGTCCTAGTTCTGAAGCCTACAAAGTATTCCCACTCATTCCATTCCAGATACAATTTAATAGGTAACAGCAATGACAAACTGTACAGATGAAGTACTTCTTTAATATTAAGCATAAGCTGGACTCGGTGGCTCAGCCTGTGTAATCCCGCGCTTTGGGAGGCTGAGGTGAGTGGACTGCCTGAGCCCGTGGGTTCGAGACCCGCCTGGGCAACGTTGCAAGACCTCGCCTTGTCTCTGCAATAAATTAAAAAATTAGCCAGGTGTAGTAGCCACGCGTGTAGTTCCGGCTACTTGGAAGGCTGAGCTGGAAGGATCGCCTTAGCCCAGCAGGTCAATGCTGGGGTGGCTGTGAGTGTACCACTGCACTCCAGCCTGGGCAATGGAGTGAGACTCCAACTCAAAAAAAAAAAAAAAATAGGACACATTTTTGGTTTTAGAGGAAAAATCTAATATCTGGGGTGGGTAAAAATGAAATAAATTACAGAATATACTGGCAAATGTCTATAAAAACAAAGTATAAATATTGGAGATAACAAGCAGGTAGCCACAGATGAAGAGAATGAAGTTGGGAATATAAAGAATCTTAAAACTGTTTTTGTGTTTGCCCTAAACTAGGAAAGCTGAAACCCTGGGGACAATCCAAAGAAAATAATTCTCTGAATGAACATGGCAACAGAGTTAACTTCCACAAGAAAAATTATAAACAACCTCGTCTGCAGACCAGGTAAGTACATAATTGTCCAATTTTATAATTATTTTCATCTCGAAAGGTGCTATATAAAAGCAGTACCTTTGAGGGATAGAGTCTCAGTAATAGTGGTGTTTAAGAGGAAGTTAAAGTGGGTTCAACTATGGAAATTTCAGAAAGTACATGTGCCTAGGTTCCAGCATAATAGGTTCCAAATCAGTAGGTTTGGGGTGAGGCCCAAGCATCTGTATCATTTCCAAGGCTCTGCAGGCAATTCAGCAGAAGATCTGGATTCAGAGCACTGCTCTTGCATGACCTGTCTGAATGTGAATGTCCCTACAGGCACCAGTGCTCAAGTGCCCAGGGCACCTGCGTATGCAGGTAGATATAAATTCCTTACTCCCAAGGGAACCAGGCTTAGCGGGCATCAAGGCATCAAGGCTGAAGGATGGTCCTTAGAGACTTCCTTCAGCATGAAAACCAAGTTAAAGCCAGAGCTTAACCTGGGCTGCAGCTGGTCCTGATTGAGTTGATTCCCTGACCTGAACCCTTCTGACATTCATTTATCCATCATTTGACTCGTGCCTGTATCCAGCTGTCACCAAGGCCTTGACTAACTTTGTGTTACTAAGATGTTTACATGATCCTGAGCTTTTTTTTTCCCTCCTGATCTCTAACTGACTTAAGTCAGTTTTTCTAGTTCTAGTTCTTTTACTTTCACTAGACTATGTATGTAATTTGAGCTTGACCTTTGATTTCTAGGTGTAGAGATTTCTCGTTTAAAACAAAATTTTAAAGTACAGGAGTTGGATTCAACCACAGGGTGCTTTCTGGCTCCAGTTTCATGCATGATTATAGATAGAATGCTGAGTTAACAAAAAGGAATATACCAATTTCTAGCCCTTTAACACAACAACCGCAGATGTTAGAACCACTAGTAGAGCACAGCTTTACACAGTGCAGGAGAGTCTGTCTTATATAAGTGTGTGCTGAATGTCATTTTTAAAAGGTGTGTAAAGTGTCTGTTGTGTAGCTTCACTTGGGCTGACTATGTGACCTGTCCCTCTTAGGGAAGAGCAACGGAAGAAACACGAGCAGGCACGAAAGGAGAAGAAAGCAAGGGTTTTGGGAGCACGGAGGGGCCTCATGGCGAAAGATTAATAATCGTTAACATCTTGTAAATATTTCTTTACTCTGAACTTTTCCTTTTGTAAATATTTTTGTACTTCCCCACTTTAGTCAAAAGATCTTCTCCTGTTGTTTATTATCTGTGTAGTGGCCACAGGTTCTTCATGTGCTACAATTCTGAAAAGACATCATTACCTTAAAGCTCACAAATTCTTTAAAATTACCTAAGTCCTCGTACAACTCAGTTTTCTAACGAGACCCATCCAAGAAATCCTTAATCTAGATTTTTAACATCAAGTTCCCCCTGCTGGTTCCAATATTAACCAAACTGCAGTGCTCTTCTGGGCGACAGCATTTACCTGACAGCAGTGAGTTATATAAGCTTCAGTAAAATTTGCATTAACAAGTTAAGAAAAGGGCGAGCTGGGACAGAAAGGCCCCTTCTTCATCTTCTAGTCTGTAGCATCTAGTAATCTGAATGTAACTGGGCCATATGGTTTGGGTATGGCATCGGTATTTTGCCTTGGTGAAAACGGTTTTGTTCTGTTTATACTTCTATGCATCTTTATTCAGATCACTTCATGTAACTGCCATATGTCATTCACTGAATTATCAAGAACAAAACTCCATAACTCATTCTAGCCTTGCTTATTTTAAGTAAAAGCTACAGGGCCCTCTAAAAATATAAGGATCACTGCCTTAAGGATTACTGTGCTCCATCAAACTTCCATCTTCTTCATTTTATGGAAAAGTCTAAAGTTGCTTAGCATCATATTCATGTTCCTTGCACCTTAGTAGAGCTTCTGAGTTTTGTACTGCTTAAGACTGTCATAAATAAAATTTTTTCTCATCGTGGCAGATACATTCTTTGTAAACATAATAGTCTTGTTGTCGACCAGCTAAGCTGAACAAGAGTTTGTATGTGCCCTTTGTGCATCCTTTCCTGACTACTCCTTTCACTCTAAGAAGAAACAGCTGTATGCTTCCTTTATAGTCCCACAGCACCTCTCAGGTTTTATTAAATTTACTGTTTTGCAAATAGGAGCCTTTAGAACATGGCATGCTCCTGGGTACTTGAAAAATTCAAATTTCCCTAGCAAGAGGCAGAGATCAGATCAATCAACAGAGCTCTGGGTTAAACACACTTCTGATGGGAATGTAAAATAGTATAACCACTATATACTGTTAGAGAGAGAGAGATTATAACCAGTATAGTGTTCCTTTAAAAAGTTGCTGTGTATCTTCTTACCCTGTGATCCAGCCATGCCACCCCTAGATAGTTACCCAAGAAAAATGAAAGCATATAATCCTATAAAGACTTCTCTGTGACCAACCTGGGCAAACAGCAAGATCTTATCTGCACAAGAAATTTAAAAAGTGTTAAATGTGCTATTTGGTGGCATTCTACTCAGCAGGCTGAGACAGGAGGATCACTTGGGCCCAGGAAGTCAAGGCTACAGTGAGCCATGATTGTGCCGCTGCATTCCACCTGGGGACACAGAGCAAGACCCTGTCTCAAAAAGGACTTGTACCTGAATTGGTATCTTTATTTGTAATAGGCAGAAGTTGGCAATAATCCAAATGCCCACCACCAGGTGAATGGATAAACTGTGGCATACCCATACAATGGTATACTACTTGGAAATAAAAAGAAATGAACTCTGATAAACAGCAAAACATATCGATGAATCTCAAATAACTACACTGAAAGAAGTCAGATCAAAAAATAAGTATATACTGTTTGATCTCATTTCGATTAAGCCCTAGAAAATAACTACCTATGGTAATAAAAAGCAGAATTGGCTGGGCATGGTGGCTCAAGCTTGTAATCCCAGCACTCTGGGAGGCAGAGGTAAGAGGATTGCCCAGCCTGGGCAACTTGGTGAGACCTCGTCTCAAGTAATTAAGAGCCAGGTTCAGTGGCTCAGCCTCTAATCCCAGTACTTTGGGAGGCTGAGGTGAGTGAATTGCCTGAGCCCATCGGTTCGAGACCAGCCCAGGCAGAGACCAAACCTTGTCTCTACAATAATAAAAAAAGATTAGCCAGGCGTGGTAGTGCACACCTCTAGTTCTGGCTACTTGGAAGGCTGAGGCAGAAGGATCGCTGGAACCCAGCAGGTTAACACTGGGGTGGCCATGAGTGTGCCATTGCACTCCAGCCTGGGCAACAGAGTGAGACTCCAACTCAAAAAGTAAATTAAATAAAAAATTTAGCCAGGCATGGTGGCACATGCCTGTAGTTCCAGCTACTTGGAAGGCTGAGACGGAAGGATCGCCTGAGCCCAGCAGGTCAAGGCGGCAGTCAGTGGCCATGAGCCTAGTTGACAGTGAGACTCTGACTTAAAAAAAAAAAAAAAAAGATATAGTGTTGGGAATGTGGAGAAATTTGAACCCTAAAGCACTACTATTGGGAATATAAAATGGTGTAGGTGCTTTGGAAAACAGTCTGGCAGTTCCACAAATGGTTAAACATTCCCCTATGACCCAGCAATTCAACTCCTAGGAATACACCCAGGAGAAATGAAAACGTCTACATGGCCAGACTCAGTGGCTCCGCCTGTAATCCCAGCAATTTGGGAGGCCAAGGCGGTAGATTGCTTGAGCCCATGGGTTCGAGACCAACCTGGGCAACTAGTCGAGACCTTGTCTCTACAATAAATCAAAAGTTAGCTGGGTATGGTGGCATGTGCCTGTAGTTTCAGCTACTTGGAAGGCTGAGTTGTAGGATCGCCAGAACCCAGCAGCGTGACACTGCACTTCAGCCTGGGCAACAGAGTAAGACTCCAACTCAAAAAATAAAAATGTACAAAAACCTGTATGGAAAATATTTCTAGCAACATAATTCATAAGAGCTAAAAAGTAGAAAAAAAATCCAGATATCCCTCAATGGATGAAGAGATAAACATTCTATAAAAAAAATAATGAATCATGATACACGCTACAACATGGATGAACCTCAAAGACATTATGCTAAGTAAAGAGTCAAACACCAAAGGCCACATATTGTATGAGTCTACATCTGTGAAATATCTAGTGGCCAGGCTCGGTAGCTCAGCCTGTAATCGCAGCACTCTGAGAGGCTGAGGCAAGTGGATTGCCTGAGCCCGTGGGTTCGAGACCAGCCTAGGCAACCTGGCGAGACCTCATCTCTACAATAAAAATAAAAAATTAGCTAGGCGTGGTAGTGCGTGCCTGTAGTTCTGGCTACTTAGGAGGTTAAGGCGGAAGGATCGTCGAAGCCCAGTAGGTTGACGCTGGACTGGCCATGAGCGAGCCACCGCACTCCAGCCTGGGTGACAGAGTGAGACTCCAACTCAAAAAACAAAACAAAACAAAATGGGGGGGGGTAAAGTACATTTCAGTTTTTATGCATTGTCATGTAGAGATATTCAAATCTCTCTAGGAAAAAACACGATGGAAACATTTCTGGCTTCTTTTACAAACAGTAATATATATAAAAAAGAAATATCTAGAAAGGATAAACTTATATGTAGATTATTAGTTACTTGGGGCTGGGAATGGGAATGAAGGGCAACTGCAAAGAAACATTGGGGTTTCTTTTGAGCTGATTGGAAATTTTCTAAAATTAGACTGTGGTAATGGTGTACAATTCTGTCAGACACAAAGAAATCACTGAGTTGTATATTTAAAACTGCAAACTTTGTTATATAAATTATGCCTTAATAAGAGTATGCTAAGAGGCCGGGCTCGGTAGCTCAGCCTGTAATCCCAGCACTTTGGGAGGCCGAGGTGAGTGGATTGCCTGAGCCCGCAGGTTCGAGACCCGCCTGGTCAACGAGGCGAGACCTCATCTCTACAATAAATCAAAAATTAGCCGGGCGTGTTAGTGCGCGCCTGTAATTCCGGCTACTTGGAAGGCTGAGGCCGAAGGATCGCCGGAGCCCAGTGAGTCGAGGCTGCGGTGGCCAGGAACGTGCCCCTGCACTCCAGTCTAGGCGACGAGTGAGACTTCAACTCAAAAAAAAAAGAAAAACTATGCTAAGAATAAGTCGGGCACAGTGGCTCATGCCTGTAATCCCAGCACTCTGGGAGGCAGAGGCAAGAGGACTGTCTGAGCTCGGGAGTTCGAGATCATCCTGAGCAACACTGCAAGACCTCATCTCTACAATAAATCAAAAAATTAGCAGGGCGTGGTGGCACATGCCTGTGGTTCCAGCTTCTTGGAAGGCTGAGGCAGAAGGATCACCTATGTCCAGCAAGTCGAGACTGCAGTGGCCATGAGCATGTCACTGCACTCCAGCCTTGGTGACAAAGTAAGACTCCAACTTAAAAAAGAAAAAAAAAAAAGAAAATTACATGCAAATATACAAAACAGATTTTAGGCCAAGATGTTGGAAAAGCTGTTAGCCTTTGTGTATCTCTTGTTTATTTGTAAACTTGGCAATCCAAGTACTCTCACCATATTATGGTTTCCTACCTCCTCTACAATGGTCAATTTATACTGTTAATCAGGGTCTTATTTTTGGCATATCTAATTTCTGTAATACTTGAAATACTGAGGATGCCTCAGGCATAGTAGTCTAGTATCTTTAGCTTCTCCAGTGGTTACATTGGAAGCCACTATCGTGTCAGAACTTTTAAGGATCATGTATCTTCGGACAACAAGCCCTCTAAATAGGTATCTCATTTCCCAGTGCCTTCTATAGCATTTTGTATCTTAATATTCTTTAGAAGTCTCCTTTCCTCAAGAGTGACTGGAAAATAGAGGAAACCTAGGCCAGGCTTGGTGGCTCAGCCTGTAATCCCAGCACTCTGGGAGGCTGAGGCAAGTGGATTGCCTGAGCCCACGGGTTCAAGACCAGACTGGGCAACTTGGCGAGACCTGTCTCCAAAATAAATAAAAAATTAACCAGGTGTGGTAGTGCTGACCTGTAGTTACAGCTACTTGGAAGGCTGAGGAGGAAGGATCGCCGAAGCCCAGCAGGTTGACACTGGGGTACTATGAGTGTGCCACTACACTCCACCTGGGCAACGGAGTAAGGCTCCAACTCAAAAAAAGGAAAAAACGTAAAGGAATAGAGTGAGTGGTAGAAGGCCATCAATAGTCATCCCAGAGACTCCTTGCTCTGGAAATCATCTACTAACATAGGAAATGTTCCTAATTGGAACCGTTCTAACCAAAAACCATATTTACATAGTACCTCTGAATCAGTATCTGCATTCTATGAGCTAAATTAGCACACCTTAGAATCTAGTTTCAAGCTGTGTTCCTTTTATCCAGTCCCGCTTAACAGCAGTATTTAGACTTAAAAAATACATACCAGTCAGTGGTTAGATGCTATTAAAGAAATATTTTGTCTGTATCATCAAGGATGCTATTACTCTTAGTTTAGTAAAACAAAACTACCACATAATCTTCTTTATTTAAAAAGACTTGGGTTAAGTTCTGGAGAATTTTCATAGGCAAATTCTTCTGTGTGGGCTGGATCAGTAAATATTCCAATAAAATCTATTTCCAGGAAGAATGGACCATCTACTTTATCAGCCAAGGTGAGTCCTATAGAAGAGATCTAAATTTAAAATAGAGAAATCAATTAAAATCTCATACACTGATGTGCTATTCTTGCAGTTTTTTTTTTTTTTAGTCAGGGTCTCTGTTGCCCAGGCTGGAGTGCAGTGGCACAATCACAACTCACTGAAGCCTCAAACTCCTGGGATCAGACAATTCTACTGCCTCAGCCTCCCTAGTAGCTGAGACTACAGGCACGTGCCACCATGTCTGGCTCATTTTATTTTTTGTAGAGACAAGTTCTCACTATGTTACCTAGCCTAATTTTAAACTCCTGGGCTCAAGCAATCCTCCTGTCACCCCAGCCTCCCAAAGTGCTGGGATTACAGGCATGAGCCACTGTGTCCAGCCTGTTCCTGGAGTTTTGGTTTGAGTTGGAGTCTCACTCTGTCACTCAGGCTGGAGTGCAGTGGCACGCTCATGGCCATTACAGCCTCGACCTGCTGGGCTCAGGTGATCCTTCTGCCTCAGTCTTCCAAGTAGCTGGAACTACAGGCATGCAGCACCACACCCAGCTAATTTTTTTATTTATTATAGAGATGAGGTCTCGCCAAGTTGCCTAGGTTGGTCTCAAACCTGTGGGCTCAGCAATCCTCTTACCTCAGCCTCCCAAAGTATTCTTGAAGTTTTAAAATCCCATGAGGTGACTACTATAACTGGGTTTTTAAACTTTCAGCCTTTAGCAAATATACCATATTACTCAAATGCTATAGCAAATTATAAGAGGATGTACAAGACTGCTTTTCTTTCTACATTCTACTTCCTCTCGTCTTTTCTATAGGTAATGCCATTTAAGACTAGTAAGGACAACATGGATGTCTAATGGAGGTTTCCTGAAGCTCTCCTGAACTCTTATAGCTAAAATAGAAAGTAGGCATGCAGTTGGGCGCAGAGTATGTGTGTGTGTGTGTGTGTGTGTGTGTGTGTGTTTCTGAGTTAAAAATACAGGAAAAAGTTACCTTGTCAAGCAGAAGCTGACACTGAACATCCCGGATTCTTCCTTGATTTGAGAAGAAAAATTTGGAAAAAGGAATCTGAAAGAAGAAACCATTTACTTCAAAGCTGCAATATAAGCAACAAAGCATCTGTGTGGAGATGTAATAATAAAAGAGTTGTAGTTTAAATTTAATTCTTTTTTTTAAATTCTAAAGTTAATTTAATATATGCAGTTTTGATAAGTGGCTAGTCGTCTTGATTAAGGACACAACTTTGATGGCAAAAAAAAAAGGATAAACTAGGAAAAAAATATTTGTAACATTTATTGAGAAGAGGCTAGTATCCTAAATAAAGCTTTTACAAATAACTAAGAGAAGTATTAAACAACCAAATAGAAAAATGGAGATTAGGGAAAACAGACACACTTTTATTACATTACTAGGAGTGCAATTAGCACAACTCTGAGAAGGCAGCTGGCCACCGTAATGGGGACAATTCTAAGACTGCTCCTAGATTTCCACCCCCGGTACACATACCCCTCCTTCCAGGAATTCAAACAGTAAACTCAGGGCTGCTGTGAACAGATTTTGCCAATATAATTAAGTTTCTAAAGCAACAGACCTTAATGAAGGGAAATGAGCCTCTGCAGATCTGGTAATCACTTGGGCTTCTAAGAAGGGATGAGCAACAGGCCCTGAAATCTCATGCCCTTCACAGAGGATAAGAGTGAAAACAATCTCTTATGAGATGTAGAGTATCTGTTCTTTGTTTTTGAGTCGGAGTTCCACTCTGTCACCCACGCTGGAGTGCAGTGGCATGCTCACAGCCACTGCAACCTTGACTTTCTGGGCTCAGGCGATCCTTCTGCCTCACCCTTTCAAGTAGCTGGACCACAGGCATGAGCCACCATGCCCGACTAATTTATTCATTTATTTGTAGAGATGAGGTCTTGCCAAGTTGCTCAGGTTGGTCTCAAACCCATGGGCAGTCTTCTCACCTCGGCCTCCCAAAGTCCTGGGATTATAGGCGTGAGCCACCATGCAGGCCCCCGCAACTGTTAATAGCTCTTATGTCTGGGAAGTAGGCATGGGAGTTTGAGGAGGAGGGATTCTTAGTTTTGATTTGTATAAAGCATGCTAGTCACTTATATAACAGACAAAAGGCTAATCTAAACACAATTTCCTAGAGGCCATGCATGGTGGCTCACACCTGTAATTTCAGCACTTTGGGTGGCTGAGGTGGGAGAAGTGCTTAAGTCCAGGAGTTTGAGACCAGCCTGGGCAACACATCTCTTAAAAAAAAAAAAAAATACAGGCCGGGCATGGTGGTTCAGGCCTGTAATCCCAGCGCTTTGGGAGGCTGAGGCAAGAGGATTGCCTGAGCTCAGGGGTTCGAGCCCAGCCTGGGCAACTTGGTGAGACCTCATCTCTACAATAAATCAAAAAATAAGCCAGGCATGGTAGCATGTGCCTGTAATTTCAGCTACATAGAAGGCTGAGGCGGAAGGATCGCCTGAGCCCAGCAGGTCGAGGCTGTAGTGGCCATGAGCATGCCACTCAATGTACTACAACCTGGGCGACACAGAGACTCGACTCAAAAAAAAATTAGCCAGACATGGTAGCACATGCTTATAGTCCCAGCTACTTGGGAGCCTGTGGTGGAAGGATTGCTTGAGCACAGGAGCTCAAAGTTACAGTGAGCTATGATTGTGCCACTCCAGCTTGGGCAACGAAGTGAGACCCTGTCTCAAAAAGTTTCCTAGAAATTGAGGAGAGGGCAACCCCCTTGGGTCCCCTCCAACTACGGGAGCTTTTCTGTCCTCTCAATAAATCCTGCTTTCTCTTTGGTGTTTTTTGAGTTGGAGTCCCACTCTGTCGCCCAGATAGAAGCGCAGTGGCATGTTCCCGGCCACCGCAGCCTTGACCTGCTGGGCTCTGGCGATCCTTCTGCCTCAGCCTTCCAAGTGGTTGGAACAACAGGCGCACGCTACCACGCCCAGCTAATTTTTGATTTATTGTAGAGATGAGGTCTCACTAAGTTGCCCGGGTGGGTCTCGAACCCACGGGCTCAGGCA